TTTATTTTATTATTTATATTTATTTTATTTCCGGTCTAGTTTTTGGGTGGAAAGTGATCCAAAGGGAGTCAAGATGCTTGGATAATTTTCTCTATGCTGTAGCTATTGTGCAGTTTGTGAGAGTCTCTTGTTAGAAGTAATAATATCCCAGATAGCACAAAGTTTAAAATTGACGCATAAAACGTCTTTAAGACGTCTTTTAGATGTCTTTTAGATGCTGCTGCAAGAACTATCTAAAGAATATCTAAAAGACGTCTTATACGTTGATTATAAACTTTGTGTTGTCTGGAAGATGGATATTTTTAAAACGTCCAAATGTAAATATATACTTTATACGTGGAATAATATACGTTTTTAAAACATTCATATTAAATCCATGGACGTTTGTACTAAATAAAAACGAAATTTGGACGTCCAATGGACATCGTGTGCTGTTTGGGACCCTTGCTGCTATAAATTCTTAAATTTAAAAGCATGTTTGCCATATTGAAAATTGCAAAGTTTAACGGAATGCACAAACTTGATAAAATTTTTCTCGGGGATGCGAAACTTTACAATTGATTATCATAATATTTGCGACAAAAATTCATTTTATCCCGTAGAGTGCGTCAAATTATATACAATTTTTTTGGAGATGGAACATGTCCTTACTTTTGAAAAGACAATGGGTGGGAGGAAAGAGAAATTAAAAATCTGTCAAAAGCTTCTTTAAGTACGAACTTTAAACTTAAGAATGAAAAAAAATCTTTTCGATACGACTATTTTTTTCGGAGTTATGCTTATTTAAAGTTATACAAAATTTTGATATAAATTTACCTATACGATAATTTTCTTGACCAGTATATATTTATATACTTATATATTTGACATTTTTGTAATCACATTCTATTATGTAGGTATATTATATTGCTAACATATGTATATTACAGCTTTGTCAGTCATATTTTTTTTCTTCTATAGTTTCCCTTATTTCTCTATTTTCTCTCTTCGAGGATTATATGTATTATTATATGTGTGGGATACGCGTTATATCACGTATCCTAATTGCGTTTTGACGAACTCAAAGCTTCTAGACTGGTCTGCGAACGTCGACTTCGCAAACGTTCTATGGTTACGCAGGACAACGACGCACGGAGAACGGGTCGAATTGCGGTACGACTCGCACGATTTAGCGTGTCGTGGTCATGCCGCACACTATACCGCAAATGCTGTGACGAAGGGTCGGGCTTGCCAGTTTGCTCCGACTCGTTCCAACTCGCAATATTGCTTGTGAGAGAAAGAGAAAGAAAGAAGGAGAGAACCGGAGTACAGAGAGCAATGACCTAGTGCGCGCAATGCACGTGTTCGGGTAGAAACCACGACGACTGCCTCACGATGGGGCATTGGACGCCACGTGCGGTCTGTGGCAGTGGTGGGAGAAGGACAAATCGCCGGTTCCAAGAGAAGATTGTGAGGAGGAGGGTATATGATTGTGTTAGAAATGCGGGGAAAGGAATGATGACAGCAGCACGCTCGTTCATATTCACACACACAAATGCTTGACACGATAGAAGCCTCTCGTCAATACGGCCTCGTTGATTCGGATAATGGAGATAGCCCGGTAAAATCCCAACGTTTCAACGTTGGGCGCATGTGGGAAAAACTGCGAATATACGTTGCTTCCGGAGCAGATGAAGATCATAAATATTTTCGTAAATCGTAAATTAGGAATACTTTAGGAAATTCCAAACTATTTTGGATACATACGAATCTTAAATAGAAATATTTATGACAACATACTTTGACAGTATTGAATCTATAAAATCTAAATTTTAAAAGCTTAATTAGTTTTGTACTGTTATTAGCACAGGTTATAATTTATTAAAATAATTGATACTGTTTTTGTTGTATATTGCTTTATATTGATTGATAATTGTATGTATTCTAAATGTAAATAATTGAGACAATGTTTATCGAATCAATTCTAACTATCCTTGAATATTATATTGGATATTTGGTATTATTTCGTTTCTCTGTTATGATCCATTGTAATTATAAATAAAAGTGGCCTGTAATTACAATAAGTTGTAATGTAGTAAAAAAACAAAATGTTGACGAAAATCCTAAGAAATACCCAACATAATATCGATTTAAAGATAGTTGAAGAAAATTTGATGAACGTTGTCTCAATAATTTAAATTTAGAATACGTAAAATTACAACAATTATTCTAATAAGTTATGTGTGCTAAGAACAATATAAGATGCTAACTTAGCTTTTAAAATCCGAGTATGAAATATCTGTTGTACAAATAATTATGAGTGATACTGTAAGCGCACGCGCACGCGCACACGCACACACGCACACGCACACACACACACGCACACGCCCACGCGCACACACACACACACACACACACACACACACACACACACACACACACACACACACACACACATATATATATAATTAGCATTTATAAATATACGAGTATAAAATTTTTCATGTAAGAA